TAGGTCCTCATTTTTCCCCTCCCTCCCCGCTCCCCCCTCCCGCATGAGCCCTTGATAGTTTATAAATGGGTATTTTGTCATATCTTGCCCTGTCCGCCGTCTCCCTTCATCCACTTTTTGGTTGTCTGTCCCCCAGGGAGGAGGTCACACACAGTTCCATGTAGCAGTGGTTTCTTGTTCTAGACTCGGAAGGCCCTGGGTGATGGCTGTGGCTGCCAATAAAGACTTGGGGATCCACTTCCATAAAATCCACCACTGCAAATCCTGTGGAGCCCTGTTCTACTCTGACCCCCACACGGGGGCCACCACGCGTGGGGAGCATCTCCACAGTAACTGGTTTTATTCAGACGACATAATTACCATGATAAACTCAGCCATCCACATCGGTCAAGCTGCGTCCTTGGGGGTCTGTAGCTGAGAGCGACCACCAGGTAACCGCAAAGGCCACCGAGGGCCCCCAGGGGCCGATCGCGGACAATCACCCCAGCTTGCGCAGCGGGCTAGCGCTCTGCGGAAACACAGCTGCCAGCAGAGCCCGCTCTTCCCCGCCACGCCCAGTCTTCCGGGGTTACGCCCCTCGGCGTGCCTCCGCACGTCCGCTTCCGGGAAGCGGCGAATCAGACGAACTTGGCGCGTGACGTAGCACGTTTTCCTATAAATACGTGCCGCGCCCGCCGCGTCTCCCTCTGAGCTCAGCACCTGGTGTGAAGATGGCGCCGGTGAGTGACTGCGGTCTCGGTGTGCACGCTGTCCTCAGTGGAACCAGCTCTGTCCCGGCGAATGGGGCCGTTTCCACTGAAGGAACGTGTAGGGGCAGGTGGGGAGGGGGGCGGGGTGCAAGATGAGCTCTTGGGGTCCGGAGTTCGAGAGCGCTGCCGCGGGGTGCAAGATGAGCTCTTGGGGTCCGGAGTTCGAGAGCGCTGCCGCGGGGTTTCAGCTGGGCCTGCAAGTGCTGGGCGATGGCGGTCAGGCGGCGCGGGGAGGGAGGCCCGACGCCGGGAAGCATTTCCCACCTCGCGCCGGGTGGTGCCAGCGCCGCCATGGACGGTGAGGGCGGTGGGTGGTCGGGTGCCCGCCCACGACCGGAAGGAGCCTCCTGGCGCGGCGAACGAGCGTGGTCACGCTTAAAAAGTACCTGAGAACTTTTCATCTCGAAAGGAAGCTTTTATCGTGCCTTGCTTATTAAAATATATTTATTAGCATGTTCGCTGCAGAGCCTGTGAAAAAACAAATCGTATCATAGTCATTCGTGAATAAAGCAGTAAAATGTTAAACCTGGTTAAAACCCTGAATCCCGCACCCAGTATTCCCTTTTGTGACTACCTAGTTTGGGGCTTCTTTTATTTTACAAGTTATCTGACTACCAGAGGAAACAACGCGGTGTTTACTTTTGTTAAATCTAATTGGGAGATGAGAGCTTGCCGATAAACCAGTGGAGATTTTTTTAAACGTTTAAAAAGCCTTTTCTGACCCTTTAACAATTAAAGGTGGGTTAGGATTCTAGTTCATTAAACTCAATTGTCATCGAGTAGATTCTGAGTCACAGTGACCCTAAAGGACAAAGTACACCTGCCTCTGTGGCTTTTCAAGGCTAGAAATCATTCCTGGACCAGAAGCTTGGGTTAGCTCCCTGCAGAGCTCCCGGCACCACCAGGACTGTTCAGTGGGCCTTAGTTTGAGTGAAGTCTTACCGGTTGGACTAGATGGTTGGTTTTCCTGGGAGGCATACTGCAGTGGAGCTAGCAGACATCAGTTTACTCTAGTGAGTAGTTTACCTGTTCACTTCTGATTGAATGCTCGTTGGGGGTGAGGGGTCTCTTAGTCAGTTAAAATAAACTCCTGGGGGTGGGGGGGTGGGGATATGTTTTTTGAAGGTGAAGTATGAAAAAATTTCTTTTAGACTCCCATTTATGAACAGGATGGTAGGGGGGGAGTATGGATGCTGTTCTAAATTAATGGGGAAATGTTAAGGTAGCATCCAACTGGTCTCCCGAACCACGCTGCTCCTCCCTGAGAACTTAGATTGATCTGTTAGCCTTTCTCAATTCTAGAAATTGGAGTTTTAGAAATCATGTTGTTGAAGGAAATCTGTTTACTGCCCATCAAACTTGAATTCTACACATTGCTAAACTACAGTTGTTCCGATAGACTGATGTTTAATGCTTGGCTGTCAGGTTTGTATTAAGGCTTTGGCATGGTTGGAAGGGATGGCACTGATTTTGTAAATAGCACATCACATTCTACATGATTTTAATGGTGCAAAGTAAGAAAACTGAATGTCTCGTAATTATGTTTGATAACAGAAAGACAAGGCTAAGAAGTCAATCTGGAAGTTTCATTTGGATCTTACTCATCCAATAGAAGATGGAATTTTTGATTCTGCAAATTTTGTAAGTCTTGGTTCATTCTGTTTTTGTGATTATAATAGAGTTCTTAGAAAGAATCTTAAGTTTAAGATACTTGATTTTTAACCCATACTCTGTTCCTAGGGTACCTTCCCTAGTGAATACCTAGGGTTCTCTTCCCTAGTTTTGTACTTTTTCTGTTTTCAAATAGGAACAGTTTCTACTGGAGAAGGTTAAAGTCAATGGAAAAACTGGAAATCTCGGAAACGTTGTTCATATTGAACGATTCAAGAATAAAATTACAGTAGTTTCTGAGAAACGGTTCTCTAAAAGGTTGGTACTTGTTTTATGCAATTTACTAAGTAAACCCACTCTTCATGTGTCAAAATATCTTAAAATTTATTAGAAATACATAGCAAGTCAACATTCTGTGGGAGCTCATTTCAGTAACTGGACGCCGTCTTAAAATTGGAGGTAGTTTATTCCTGGCCAGTGAATAAATGGAAGCTTGAACTGTCAAAGGTGTCTGTCACTTGTATCTTCACTATCACTTAAGAAGCATAGACACAGGAGTTGTGCAGGGCCATAAAAAGGTTTCGACTCAAAATATAAGGCTGAGTTATGCAAATAAGGGAACACAGCAGAATGAGGGGAAAGCCTGGCAGATTTTAAGTGCTGGCAAGTAAGTGCCTGGGGTGCATTTTGAGAAGAATAATTAGAGATGGATGTGGGACTGGGTGAACCTCAAAGGCCATGGGGAAAGCTAAATTTAATGTGAAATGGGTAGGTGGTAGACTCATTGGAAACTGGCCATTTAGGAACTTGTTGTGAGGGTCAGGGGAAGTATGTTGGCATGTATAAGGGGTAGCCATTAGTTGTGAAGACAACACCACAAATTCAGAGATAGATTGCCTGTGGGAGTTACAGACCTCATTAACATGGCAGGCTTCATTGCCATCAGATTTCATAATTAATGAAAGTGCATTTCATCTGATTTTAAAATAATCACACAGTTAGAGCTACCTTGTTACCAGAGATTTTGCATCTAAAGGCATTAGTAAAATACCTATTTACCTCATTGAGAGGTAACCAGCAGTGATTTACCTTCAGCGGAAGGCAAGAGTAGTTAGTGTTGCCTGGGATGATTGAGGTTATGTGTCAAATTTTGGTGGGTTTGATTTGGTAATGATGTAATTTGGCATTTTTATAAGGCAGTGGTTCTCCGGTTGATGGTAGGATATGGTTGTGCTTCATTTTCACCTAATAACCTGTTCTTGGAACTGCAACCGTGCGTGAGGAATGTATGCAGTTAGCATGAAGAGGAAAATGCTGTTGCTCTTTTGTATGTTGGTTCCCAGTGTAAAGATGATTCACTTACTCCAAGATATGCTATAGAAGTGTTCAGTTGGGCCTACACAGATTTTGATTGTATTTGAGGAGTTAGCATCCATAACCTAGCACATTGTTTAACAAAGGAGAAGATTTTTTAAGTGAGCTAGGAACAAAAGATAGCTTTCATATAAACCTTTACTTAGGAATAGCATTGCTTAATGGAGTTTGTTTTTATTTTGAAGGTATTTGAAATACCTTACCAAGAAATACCTTAAGAAGAACAACCTTCGTGATTGGCTTCGGGTGGTTGCGTCTGACAAGGAAACTTACGAGCTTCGTTATTTCCAGATTAGTCAAGATGACGATGAATCTGAAATTGAGGATTAGATGAAGCCTCTGTACAGGGCTTTGCTTACTAATGCAATGTAGGAATGGGAGACATTGCGAATAATCTTGAATAAAAAACATTGTACTTCTATGCCTTGTTCCTTTATTTAGAGTTCTGTTTACATGACATGCTGGCTTCCCTTGATACTGTTTTCTTCGTGGTATTTGAATAGTTTATAGCTGAAAGTACTTTATAGTGCTTGCCTGTCAGTTTGTCACACTGATGGCTTGTGTGATGCTGGAAGCTATCACTGGTGTTTCAAAGACCAGCGGGGTCATTCAAAGTGAGCAGGTTTCAGCACAAAGGACACAGTGACTGCACGGGTGGGTTCAAACAATTGTGGGGGTGGCGCATTCTGTTGTACAAAGGTCACTGAGCTGGAACTGACTCGGCACCAAACAACAGCCACCGGTTACTTTTCCTGGGACTTAACTGCTTTTACATAAAAAGATAAATAGGAATAATACTGATGTGCCATTTCCCATCTAGGGATTCGATTCAGACTATGGAATTGTCACTAGTCCCAAGTATTTTGTGAGCCCTTTGTAAGTGTGATCCTAAGTACCAAGAACAGCGCAGCCCCCTTTGAAGCTGCAGACAGTGATGGGTGTGGGCAGGCAGAGTAGAGCCACATCATATCCTGTCAAGTGCAACTGCCATCCAGTCTGAGGACGCGTGGGTTTGGGGGGTTGCGGGAGTAGAAAGACATCTTTGTGCTAGTGGTTTCAAACTGCTGACTGTTGGCAGCCCAAAGTTTAACCTGCTGTGCCACCTTTATCCCATCAGTAGGTAACCTTTAGGTGTTTCAGCTGTTCCGTGAGGCTCTCTGCTCCCCTAAAGATTGACAGCCTCGGTAATCCAAAGGTGCAGTTCTGCAGGTTGCTATGTGCAGTGGTATGGATGATTTTCCTCCTGGAGATGTATACAAGATCTGGTATTTGGGCAAACACCAACAATGTGCCCCCTGCTCCTGCCCCAGTAATCTTTCTTTTTTTTTTTTTAATCATTTATTAGGGGCTCATACCCAGTAATCTTTCAAGTGCCCTTGACTATGGTATTCAAATGTTTATTTCTCCAAAGTTAGTTTGTAACATTAAGATTTTAAACATTGTGAGGAGCCTTGGCGTGTTTACACAGGCTGCTAACTGCAGGGTCGGTATCAACCAGCAGCTGCTTCCTGGGAGGAAGACCTTTACTCCTGTAAAGAGAGACAATCTACAAAACTCACAAGGGCAGTTGTACACTGACCTGAAGGGTGGCTATGATTTGACATTAATCCATAGGAGTGGGTTTTGTTTTGGAAGGGGCTGGGTGGAGCTCTTGGCTAAGTGTTGGACTGCTAATAAGGTTGGTGGCTCCAATCCACTAGCTGCTGCTCCTGTGAAGATTTACAAAGCCTGAGAAACCCTGGATAGGGTCACTGAGTCAGAATTGACAACAGGGATTGTTTAGGAGCTGGGTTCTGTGCCAAAAGATGCTTAGAACATAGGACTTGTGCTTTTGGCTGCTAACCTCACAATCGGTGATTCGAAATCACTAACTCCATCAGAGTAAGGTGAAGCTTTACTCCAGAGATAACCAGTCTTGGATATCCGTAGGGGCAGTTCTGTCCTGTTGGGTCTCTGAGTTAGAATGGACTTGGTAGTAAGGTTTTTCTCGTTTTGTTTTTGCCTTGTACCTTTAAGGAAGGAGTTGGCCAACTAGTGAAGAGACAAGTAACTTTATTTGATAAATAATTTATCTAGAACCTACTGTAGCCTCGTCACTGTTTGGAATATGGCAGTACACAAAGTAAATCCCCTGCTCATGATGCGTACAGTGCAATGGAGAAAGGCAGACGATAATGGAAGTGAAATAGGTTCATGCTACCTGAGCTACTTGGCCCTGTAAATACTATGAAGATAATGGGAAGCAAGGAGAGGCTGTTAGGAGGAAGGAGTTCTGGACTTGTAAACAGACTTTAGTGAAGGAAATACTGAATCTAATCAAGTATCTTTCTGGAGGGGAGGAGCATTCTAGGCAGAGACTGGTAAGAGCAAAGGCCTGAGGCTGACGGGCCTTTGGAGGAAAGTAGAAAGATGTGAGTAAGCTGTGTGTTGAGGATTGAGGTGAGAGGAACCTTGTGTCTGTGTTCTTTAGGCCAGTACCGCAACTGAACTTGACTAACTGCCATCAAATGGATTCTGACTCGTACGAAAATCATGCGGAGACAACACGTTTTCCACTCCAGTGTTTTATAGGGTATGCAAAATGTCACAAATCATGTAAGCTTTGAGAGGTGTATAATGGCAAAAGATAGTTAAGTGCTGGGTTGAACAGTTAAGCATCCCCCTTAATTAGGAATTTTTCAGGGTTTTTTTTTTTCTTCAGGTTTTTAAATGTGACTATCCACTGGTTTCCAAATGAATATACCACTTTTCCCAAATAGACTGGATCACAAAGCCCCTTCATGATCAGCTCAAGAAAGCATATTGGGTTTCTGCATGTAACTTGGTTTCCAGGACAGACAATGGATAAGAAGCTTGTTATATGAACAGCTATACCCAGAATGTGAGAACTTCTGCCGTAGAAATGACAACAGAAATAATGTTAAAAGACACACACAAAAGTTCAAGAGCAACGGGGATGTAAGAGAGCAATCAGCCACGTGTGTTATGTGGGTCTTTTGGAATCATGATTCCAAACAAGCCACGTGCAAATAGATATTTTCGAGATAGGCAAAGAAATGGGACAAGAATGAACATTTTAGGAATTAAATAGGAAAGATTTAAATACTCATTTTCTTGGATATGACAGTGATCTTGAGGTTATGGTTTTTGCTAACATGCATTGTGAAGCAGCTGCGGGTAAAATGAAAGAATTTCTGGGATTTCTCTTAAATACAAGGTGATACCTAAACACAACTGGAAAAAATTTTTTTCAAAGCTATGTATTTCACGTTTTTTACAAAACAACCTTATCACCTTCAAAATATGCTCCATTACACTTAATACATTTGTCAAACCTGTGATTCCATTCTTGGAAACATTTTTCAAACTCATCTGTTAGATGGCTGACAGCACCTCTTGGTTTTTCTTCACTTCCACATCCTCAAATCAACTTTCTTCACTTCCACATCCTCAGATCACTGTCCTTCCGGTCCCTCTTCATTCACAGAAACAAAGAAGCCACATGGAATGAGGTAAGGTGCCTAGGGCAAGGGAGACATGCTGTTTTGGGCCAAAATCGGGCACACTGAGATGGCTGACAGCAGGTGCATTGTCGTGGTGGCAAAACCAGTCCCCCATCTGCCACAAATTAGGCCTTTTTTTGGTTGCGCACTGTTAGGTAATCTTTTCAGAGCATGTAAATAGAAAGCTTGATTAACAGTCTGACCTGGTGGAACAAACCTAAAATGCATTAGGAGTTGACATTTTCGTCCTATTGGGAAGTTGACGGACATCCAGAAAGAGGTTTGTCATCAATCAACATTTCACCTTTATTGAAATGAGAAAACTGCTCGAGTTTTTCCAGTAGTGCTGTCCTTGTAAGCTGTGTTCAACAACAGTTTCTGCAGCATTTTTCCCAAGCAGGAAACAAAATTTCACAGCCACACGCTGTTCTCTTAAATTGGGCATCACAAAAAACGAGGTTCGAGCGAAACTACTTTTACGAAAAAATTCACTGACCAGAGAGAACTAGGTGACACTACTGGGTGCACTGACTCAAAGTGAGTTGCTGGATGCTCCCCTGATGGGAAGAATTTGTACTACGATAGCTCCACTCCACCCAGTGCGATTCTGGGGTGTTTTTTTTTTGGGGGGGGGGTACCACCTCATATATACTGGCAAGGCTTTTTTTAATTGATATAAATATTTGTTACATGGGTATATTAACTTTTACATTTCATGATATGTGCATATTCACTGTAAAACGGCTACTTTAACAATTTTACAAAATTTATAATGAGTAGCAA